TGAATGGTGTATTGGCTATAGGACGAGAATTTTGCACTTTCTAGGAATGATCTGAGAAACTGAGGATCTTTTAAAGACTCTTTATCAGTATGTAACCAAAATTTCGAGTTTCTAAGTTTGATACAGTCACCTTGCCAGCTAATAGGAGGTAAATAGAGAAGTGCCTGATGGCCCATGTGCTATACTGGGACCCTTTTGTTTAAATGCAGGAAACCAATACAGGAATTGCTTTCTTGATGTAACTGCATCTCTGTGAAGTTCTCTGTTGACAAACACACCAGTCTGAGTGTGTTAATAGCCATTAATAACATGTGATCCCAAAGGAAATATAATTTGCTTCAGCATTTTTTTTTCAGGTGCACAGAAGGAGAAGACAGATTGAAAAAAGCCTTGAGTAGCAGCCAGTGTGTGCATTTCGTGTCTCCCTCTTTTAAGGTTAAATTTTTCTTTTAGGAGACTGATACATGGATCATCTCATCATATCTGTCCAACCACCCATCCTGTCTCCCGTTGAAATACACATTAAGCTCATCTATTGTGAAATAAATCCTCAGAAATCTCTCCAAAATAGACTTAACAGGTGTAATGGATTGAATTAAAATTGAGTGACTTAACGTTTAAAAAATACTTGGTAAAATAGTTAATCCTGATGAAAGGTATAAATACCTTGCCTGAAGCAAAGATAACTTTGAACTATAAATAATGTAATACATTTTAATCAGTTTTACTGCAACAACTTCTATCTATGAAATAAGCTATCTTGGAAGCTCTTTTCAAGTCAGTTGAAAGAAGGATATAATTTGCTTGAAAAGTATTTTAGCAGTGAAATCTCCTTAGTTTGGAACCTGGGGAATCTTGTAATGGTTTACTCTCTTTCTCTATGTAACAGCAACTGAAAAAAGACTTACTGAGTACTTGCCTAAAGTGGTACAGAAAATACAAGTTGAGTTGCAAGTTTCTTTCTTGTCAAAACAGTACTGGTGGACCATATTTACTCAGAAAGCCATGGAAGATTTACCAGAGCAAAATTCACAGTATTGCAGTATTATGTACCATTGAAGCTGCTTGTTCCTGCTTAAAATAGAAAGGTGGAACCTGACAAAAATTTAAAATCACTGTGCAGAGAAGGGATATTTTGGCATTTGAACTGGAAGTTTTGAGCCTTGTGCAATACAGTGGAGTTTCTGGGATTCTTTCCTCGAGCAAAATTTAACAAAGATGAAGCTTTATAACTAACTCTTGTTCAAAATATACTTCTTTCCATCTAGGGAAAAAAACAACCCCGTATTCCTCCTTGTAAGGACTCAAGCAGGGTGTAGCTGTGACAGGGACCACAGTCACCAGTGTGGTACCATGGCTAGCAAGGCAGCAATTGCTATTACAGATTTTCCAGGCTTTTCAGAATACCTGCCCTGTAATTCCACATCACTCAGTTGTGGATCTTTTTGGAAGGTCCTTATACAATATTTCAGCACCCTCTAGGATGTTCTCGTTTCCCCACAGGAGGCTCTGGTCTGTAACCCTGAGTGCATAACAGGACAGCTGGTGTCACTGCCAGCGCGTGGCAGGAATAAAACAGCTTGTGTTACCATCTGCTGTGCTCCTGGGACATGTTTAAACTGCCCTGTTGCTTTGAGAGAGGTGGCAGGGGACTGCTTCTCTTAAAAAGGAAGAAAGGCACTTTGAAATTAAAAAGCTTTTGAGAGTTATTTTCTAGAGATCATAATGTTTTTTCTTCCCCCATCTTCTGTGAAGTCCAGTTAGGCTTGTCTTTGTGACCTAAAGTAGTGTGCTGATGGTGTTAAAAACCCAGGTGGAGATACAGATGAAACAATGGGGCACCAAGTACATTTTGACCCAACCAGGCTGCAGTCTATATCTGAGGTATGTGCTTCAAAACCCCAAAAGGTATATCTGGACAGCAGTTTAATCTGTAACTGGTAATGGTGAAGTACTTGAATGGACAACAGAAGTTTGAAACTTTTTATGTGTCGATATAGACTTACTCCATTAAGACTACTTCTACTTCTTCCTCCCTGCAAAGGGAATAGTGCTGAAATGGCAGCAGAGAAAAAGCCACAGTCACATCCTTACGGGGAAAGTTCCCTAGTTTTGGGTAGGTTAAAATTGCCTCGTTGTTTTAATATTTAGCAAATTAATAGCTACCTATAAAAGCCCTAGAAAAATATGGACCGTGGCATATGTGATGTTGTGGCCTGGCTTTCTTGGTCATGATTTTCTTCAGCAGTCTCTGTAAAAAGTTTGAGGACCTGGATTAAATGAGTAAATATTGCTAATTCACAAAATCTTTCTTTTTCAGCTCTGTAGTCTCTCAGGATGGACCTAATCTCCATCAAGAATTTACAGCTGTTCATGTAACAGCTGTGTCAAGCCCAAAAGGTGTTTTTTATTTTTTATTTTATTTGTAACTCCTTACAGCATAGTAGCATATTTTTTCAGGTAGTACTAGTATAAGATTTTTTTTTTCCTTGGCATAAAGTGCACAGCTGTCAAAGTTTCTTTTAATTTACTGTATTGTCTAAACAACCGTTTCAAGGGCTAAAATGTCATATTTTAATTTTTTTTCCCCTCATATATTTCAGTGTGAGCATTCTGTCTCTTCTCAGCTTGCAGTGAGTTCTGACAAGGCCTGCTAATCAGGTAGGTGGCTGTCTCTGAAGCAGAGTCCTTGGGAATAAGTTTCAACATTATCTGTCACCTGGTATTAATTGTCTTGTGGCAAATGGTATTTCTAGTGGTATTAACCACTGTAATGCCATCACCCTTCCTTAGTGCCAGCTGACTGTTCTGCTTGTGGTTTACATACTGTCTCTAAATAAATAACGTCTTCAAGAGACCTCACAGGTAGAAAATCGGTCTAATGTTCTAGGAAAACTTCTCAAAGCCCTGACTGGCAATGTTTCACTAACTTATTTCAGCCCAACCCATTACCACTGTCACTTGAAGAATCATACACAGTGTGATTTTGCATGGTCACTTTTATCCACAGAATCTACGTGTAGGCTGAGGGTGAAGGGACAGGCAGCATGTTTGTTAGTGGTGCCTCTGTGGATGTTTTAATAGTGTTCCAAACTGCAATTTCTTTCAAGTTGTGCATTCTAAAGAATATTAAATCACAGGTTTCACTCTTCTCTTAATGCACTAAATGAGTTATACCTATTGTCTTATGAGAAAAGCTGTATAATGGTTATGCTGTAAAAGAAACTTATTCCACTGCAGTAAGTCCTTTTTAATAGTTCAGTGAGACACTGCACCTCACTCAGACAAGAAAAGCTGCAATGAACATGGCAGAGCAAGAAAAGTCAGCACTTCCCTCATCTCATGTGCATTCATTATAAAATCAATACAAATGTAAGTGCTGTAAAACAAGGATGAGGCAATCTGAGGAGCACAGTACTTGTGCTGAATTTTCTTTCATTTATATTTTAATGACGACTTGGTGCAGTCATTTCAATGTAGGTCCATCCCAAAATAGACACCTAGAATAGCCATTGTTACAGAAATCATTTCACCCAGAGGAAGGATAGAGTTTAAAATATCTACAATGCAGAGTTCATAACACAGCAAATGCTGACTCTACTATAACTTGCCAGGTAACTTTAGTAACCATAATAAGCAGAATTTATTTAGGGACAACGAAAGGCAAATATTAACCTTGACAAATGAAGTGTCATAAAGACAGGACTTAACACAGAATTGAAATTGTAAAATGCTGCCTTTCTTTTCTGCTATTCCAATCCTGAAGGAAGAAGGAATTCATAAGAAAGTTTTGAGCTTTTGTCAACTCAGTAACTTCTGACCAACTCAGTAATTTCTAACTAAACAGAAGAACTCTCAGTCCTTAGGCAACTTTTTCCCACTAATATATTTTGTCCCTTTCCATTTACTTCTAGCACACAGTTGACTTGAATGTTCTTTCTCTTTATGTATTATCAATGGTTCTGGGAGACTTTTAATTTATTGCTTGATTTCTAATATTTAGCATAATGGGCAGTCTAATTGACACTGAATAAGCTTTCTGGCTAAAAGTTGACATAAAATACCCATCTTTTCTCTTGTTATTGGCCTCATCTCCTGAAATATCATAAAACACCCCTTCTTAGCTTTATCTCCTAGTAAAAACAGTATGCTATCTGTTACACTAGAAATTCAGGGCAGTAAAATCCTCTGTCAAACAACTTCATGGAGAAAAGGCTTTTGCTTTTAACAAAATGCCAACGAATATTTGGGTTCATTTGCAGTCAGTTCAGGTGCCTGTAGAATTTCGATGGAGGTCCATTTATTCCAAAGGAAGGGCTTTTTCCCGACTGATGCCAAGGACTTTGGGATAATGAACTGTAATGGATACCGTAAAGCTGAAAGCACTTCATTCGTGCTGTCATGTGCATTTGGGACAGCATTGAAATAGGTTTTCTTTTCACACACGATGTAGGGAATGAGATGATGGCTGGCTTGCATGTCAATGAGGTTGGCTACTGCATTCACTGCAGTGAGAGGTTTCCCACCAGAAGGCCATCAGTATTTATTTGTGCAGATGGACTACGAAAATGCTTCACCCAAACACTTCATGACACAATTAAGTGAAACGTGCATATTTGCTGCAACCAGACCCCAAAATAGGTTATTAGGTTGGAATTTAGACCAGAATTTTCTAAACAGAAAGTTTGAGCTGCAGCAGTGGGACAGGGCTCTTTTTACTAAGGGTTGTATTTTTAAAGTAGACAATACAGTATCTGTTAAAATTGGTTGTTAAATCTGTTAAAATGTCGCTACTGAACTAGTTTATGTGGCGTTCTTTTAGCACTTGCAGTACTGAGAGGATTGCTTTTCTTCCCTCCTGTGTCATTACCATGGAATGTGTTTCCTAAGCTCCTTTCTAGTCACAAATGACAAAGAGTAACTGACCTGTCATTTCATCTTATTCACAGGGGGTCAAGACTTATATTGATTTTACCTTCTGTATAATTTCTGTGGTTCTGATGCAGCAAGACCTTTTTCACGACTGTGCTGCAATAAGAGTTCACTTCTGAAAGAGTGTTTTAAAAGATACCAGCTCATGAACATCCCATGCAGGCAAGAGCTCTCTAAGTGGATTTTATGCTCAAATGCTGGGCTGAAAACTAAAAAAAGTGGCTGCAGAAATGTTCTTTGATACAGATAATGGCAATCAACTTTGCTGCATTGAGTGTTGAATACTTGAGGAACCTACATTCACCTGAAACAGGTAAAACTTAAGTAAAGCAGTATAAAATTAGAAAACCTAATTCCATCAGTCATAATAACCGTAACCACTGACAAATTCACTGAGTTTTCTGTGTACTCAGAAGTTTTCTATGAAATCTTCCTCTAGAGCTGGAAAGCCCAGTGAGTGTTTTGAGGACTCTGACTTTGCAGAAATGTTGCAGGTAAATGCTCTGCAAAGATGTGTGTAACCCCGGGGCAGGCTAAGTAGCAGCAGAAGCAGAAAGCAGCCAGCCCAAACACTGAGGCCCAAGATGAACAAGCAAAGAGAGACACAAGTCATGTTGTTTTCCTGAAGCTGCTGTGGTGGCAGCAGCACGAAAATATGTCCTCAAAGAAAGGCAGATTAGTGTTCCTCAGGAGTGACAAAATCCCAAATTCTACAGTGCTGGTCATTTCAGAGGCTTTGACGGTGCACATCACTCAGCAACAGAGACCAGTTTGACAGGGGATTCAAATGGTGACTTTGCACCATCTTTTGTAGGTCCCAAAGGCCTGCAACAAGGCAACAAAAATGACAGTCCTGGTCTGTAGCTGGCATTGCCTGAGCAATGGGAATTCAGTGTTGGAGGCGTACAGTGACACCACTTGAAGGAGGAGAACAGATGGGGACAACAAACTTTTGAGTTCTGGTAAACTCCTTTCCAGATACACAGAAGAGTCTACTACTGATAGCTTTTTTTAATTCCTGTTGAAGTATTGCCACACAGGATAGGCTGTAGGATGCCTTACCCTCTGCCATCCCTGTGACAGATCTCCCTGCAGCACTTGGGGAGGAGCAGCTCCTTGACCAGCTCTCTCTGGGAATCCTGGGTGGGAGCACCCTGGGTTCTGATTTTCAGTATATGCCATCATTGCTTGGGACAGAGCTGCAGGGAGTCATGGTTTCAGGAGGAATTGAGGCATTGGAATTATACTTATGTACAGGTGATAAATAAAACTGGCCTGAGAAATGTGTACATAAGTATTTAATATAGTATCAGGTAGTCTTTGCTTATCTGCTGTGAGCAAAGGGCAATTCCTGCATGGGCACTAAGCATTTTGATGTTCTAGTGCTATTTCAGATAACACCTTAAATGTTCCTGTTAAAATATTCAATCTGGCTCTATAATAATTCATTTTGTTTGAATGTAGCCATGTATAAAATGTAGAATTGTAGAAGATATAATACTTTTTTTTTCTCTCTAGGTGAGTAGGTCTTTCAGTGACTAAACCAAGAATCTTAAAAGCAGTATTTCACAAGTATTCTACATTTCCTCAGGGGGAATGTGCATTTAATATTAGAGTAATTTAAATTAGTGTTAGCTTTCAGGTTGTTAACTATTAAGTGTACTCACCTGCAGTATCTGCACAATGGAGTGAATGCACCTGATCTTGGAGTACAGGGTGTTAGATACAGGGGAAAACTGTGATTTAGCAAGCAACTGGTTTATCAAGACAAAGCTTTGTACCTTATGGCAGTGGCCTAGTGATAGCTGGGTGGTGTATGCAGTGGAAAGACTAATGAGAGATCAAGGTCTTAAAGGAGAGTTTCTTCTCTTCTTGCTACTAGAAGGGGAAAACAATCCAAACTACTAATTGGTCAAAATAGAAATTTCAAGGATTTGTAGATAGAGGAGATAACATGCAAATAGCTGCAGTTATGGGCTAATTATCTTTTGTTACCAGTTTAACGGGTGGTTTCTGGAGCCACAGAGACAGGGAAAGCAGCTCAGAAGGGATTTTTATTTAGCCAGAAGTCTGGTATCTATGTAGCTCTTTCAAACCACTAATTGATGTACAGATTAGTGTGTTAGACCCAGAGCATTGTAAGGTAAAACTGTGATTCTTGCTTCTCTTATTCCTAACTGTGTGTGAGTATTGTTGTTGGTCCCTGTGGAGGCTGTTGCTCGTTTTATCTCTCAGTGAAGAGAGGAGTGAGGAGGCCTTGGTCAGGCAGTGGGTGGCTGTGCACGATGTGAGTGCAGCTCAGACAGCACAGCAACAGAGTTTGTTGCAGCAAACCCTGCAGTTATGCACCAGAGATTTTTTTTTTTTAGCACTTCCTCTCTTTTGCAGATTCTTCTGCCCCCTTGGTGTGGCAGTGAGGGGAGGACAACACCATGAAGATTTCCTCCCTACCTTTTTCTGTGGCTCCTGCTTTTAGGAATTTGGTAGTTGTCTGGTGTCTTGCTCAGAGCTGGTTTTGCTAAAGAACATGTGAATTATAACATTTTAAATAGACTTTCCTTCTCCAGCATACTTATGCTCTTACTGCCTTGTGAGTAATGAATGACAAAAAGATGAAAATGGGGAAATTATTATTTAGTGACAAAGAGTGTTGCAATTGCTGTAAAATTTCCAGGAAGGAATGTTTTTTTGTTGTTGTTGTTTGTATTTCTGTTGTGCTGGTACTAAACAAAGGGGATAGGAATGATCTCTGTATCATATGAGCTGAGCAGTTAATGCAAGTGAGAGAGGAGGGAAGCAGATGAAGTGAACAGGTGTCTGCATATGGCTGAAGTGACATCTTTACATGAGGCAAGGGGAGCAGCTGGAAGTAGTGATGCTCAAGACTTCTACAGAATGGGCTCTGTTTTTAATAGAAATTGTTCTATTAAGACTTTTATTGTCTCACTGAGAGCATCCTTTGACACTCTCGGGCCTGTGACCTCTCTGTAATCATGAAGGTTGCTTACAGACAAATGTAACGTCATTAACACACTTTTTTATACTTTTTGTTGTATGTCAGTAGAGTTTCTCAGCCGGAAGGAGCCTGGTGAACTGAGCACTGTGTGACTAATGAGCTGTCTGTGGAACATCTGCAGTCTGAATACCTGCATCTCCACTGAAAACAGTCTGGGAACCTGTGCCTTAATGAAACTTCAGACCACACTCCTAGAAAAGGTGATTTCTACTAGTTTGGCTGCTGGCTTATTTTTTATGTTGTTTTTCTCTTGTGCTTGGATAAACCTGATCTGCCACAATCTATTCAGTTGTGTTCTGCCTAATTTTTTTTTATGGTATAAACACAAGTCAAATAGCTGCCTCTTAGAGATGCTGCTGCACTAACTTGCATTTTTTTTTTTTGCTCTTTCTAGTGTCAAGCATTTCTTGTCAGTAACTTTGAAATGACATGAAAATAATAATTACTCTTCCTTAATTATCAGTTTTTAAAATAGTAATGCTAAAAAGAGTAATAACAAATATTATTCCTGAAGTCAAGGGCTCTCCTAATCTTGGGAGCTGATAATTTTTGGTTGGGTAATCCCATGCAGAAGTGCTGCATGGCAAACTATTCAAGGGCTGAACCCACAACATAATGTTGAATAGGATTAACCCTAGTAGACAGTAGTAATATTTGAGATTTCAACTGTATTATAAAAAAATGTTTCCACAGTTCATGTGCTGATCTTGGAATACTTGTTTCTCTGCTTTACCTTGGCCTGTTTTTATATGCTCATGTAAATCCTTTGCTCTTCTGACACCTTCCACTGTCTGCTATATATACTTTACTGGCCAAGAGGAGTCTTGGAGTGTGGTGATGTCAAACATAACTGGTTACTCAGCTACTGTAGTAACAGAAACTCTCTAAGTAACTCAGATGGACTACATCTTCCTTTTCTGGTAATTATTCTGAACAGCTTTTCAAACATCAGCTTCCTGAACTCAGCATATGACAGATCACATGACACTTCTGTGGCTGGGTAGTTATTTTGTTTTGGGGTGTTTGTAACCCAGGACAGCAGCTGTTTGACAGTGCCAGGATGTAGTGCCTCAAGATTTCGCTGCAGTGCAAATGTGACTGTGGCATTCCATTAATATTTGCTTGTGATGGAATCAGCACAAGGAAGCTTGAACCAAATACTGACAAAACATGGTCTGTGACCACATGGAAGGAACTGAATAATTCAGTCTGCCCAAAGAACAGCACATAATAAAGATTTTTTTTTTTTCCCCCCTAACCAGGGAAATGTAAGAAAAAAATGTAACTGAAGTGTGTCCTGTTGTATTACTACATCCTGTAAGTGTAATTGAAACAGACCACCAAAGGTTATCATCTTTTACTGATTTTAAATGTAAGGAACAACTCGCTTCAGGTTGATTATGGTCATTATTAAATGTCAGTAACTGGTAATATTATTTATAATTTTATCAGCAGCGAATGCCTTTGGCTACAATAAAAATGTTCATTTGACTGTGTATTGAAAATCAGAAATAATCTCTCAAGTACTTTATTAGCACACTAAATTTGTAACAATACAGCTCAGATTTTATTTCTGGAGGGTGCAACTTGTTGTGTGATTTATAGGGATGACACCACTAAGCTCAGCAAGTGCATTATGTGCTGCAACTTCCTTTTCAGAAGCAAATAACACTTTGTTATCAAATAGTCATAAAACTTGCAATCATAAACCTATCTGCTGCTGTTAGCTAATCAGACTCATTCTTCCATGGATAATATTTTCAGGTAATGTTTTAGTAAATCGTGTGTTTTATTGCTTTTGTAACATAGTAACCACCTCTTCCTCTGATTCACAAACAGGGCACATGAACAAGTCCCTTTAAAATATGGAAACATTTGAAGTGAAAAGACATTGCCCTCTTTCACTAGGCAAATTAATTAAAAAATTCAGCTTCATTGTTAATGAACTGAATAAAAAGGGAAACTCTTAAATCAGGAAAAGAATGATGGTCAAGGTCAAAATTAGTACTCCAAGATGTCAGCAACCCTGAAGACATCAGACTTGCATCAACACTTTGGCTGTTGCCAGTTTCCATTTTTTGCCAAATATACCCTTTCTGCCTCCCCAGGTGGGAAGGAAGAGGCTCTCTAGAAATTCTTAACTTCTTTTTATGGGGTTTTAGAACTGGTATTTTCTCTTCCATTGAGGACTTAAGCTCTAAGCAGCTGAGTGTGTGATTAGTACCAGTCCTTGAATGTCTGATTCTGCTGAAGCCATTACTAAGCTTAAAAGCTTCTTTTCCTACAGCCACTGGGAAATGTGACTCACTGCTGGGAAGAGAACCTGGAGAAATGAATTAAACAGATTCCAAGTGCTAGAGGTGAAGGAAGCCAGTTGGAGAATGAATGGTGTCATCAAATAATTAGTGGGTGCTTCTGTGTTTATTCTGGAAGTTATTTAGTAATAACTCTAAATCATTAGTGCGGCTGTGCCCATATTAAAAAGGAGACATTTTGAGATTTGATAAGAAAATCACCTTTATTAAGACTCTGGGAATAACTGACCCTAGTGATTTATTTCACTTGAATACTACAACAGCATACATGTCTGCAATGTGTATTCTCATTATTAAAGGCTCTTAGTACAAATATTTTAATATCTAATAACTGGAGAGTTGGCATTTATTATAATGTAGGTTTGGGAAGGGCTAAAAAATGCTTTTAGTGGAACTTGACAGCATTAAAGACAAAAACTGTATTATTTCCATTATTGAAATGCCCCAAAAGGAAAATTACAAGTGTCATTTGTAGTTCTCTTCCACTACCCCTTCTGAGTCTGACCTGAGTTATGGTTAGCACTGGCTCAAGTATTTGGAACAAGAAAGGGGATCTTGAATATTATTGAATGTAATCTTGAATATATTTTCCCCCTCAGATAAACAGATAAAAATTCATCTAGATAGTAAAAATTTTTGTATCTGTGTTTAGAAATACAGTTAATGCTAAATGTGCCTAGCTGACAGGTGGATAGGCAAACAGAGAGATTATTAGATCTGGAAAAACTCATAACAGCATCATAGAAGCTGAAGTTTACAATAAAATCTTTCTTTTATTCTCCCAGACAGAGAGGATAGTGGGCTGATACAGAGTCCCTAAAGAATCCTCAGTGACAATATCAGGAGATGCAGATAAAACCACATTGGGGTATTCATGCTATATTTTTTGCATTGAAATTCAGAGATGGAGTTCTCAACCAGCTCCACAGAAGAGCCCATATTGACAAATGACACTCTTTTAATGTTTTCTGACAATAACACTGCTTTCTGCCAATTCCTGCTGCCAATAATAATGACTGTCTGTTAAAGCAAACAACTAATGAATGTCTCCAAATGACCTTTTAGCAACTACTGTCAACATTAACTACTCCACAGCATCTCCGCCCTCCTCTGGAATTGCCAGTGTTTCATTTGGAGTGTGTAAAGGTACCTGACATTAGGAGTACGTATCTATGGTAGTTTGAATGATGATGGACTGCAGCAGCTGGTCTAGTTCTACATCTTGTGACCAACACTTGAGGTTATAACGATGGATGACTTCTCAGGACAGGGCAAAAGTGCTTGCTGTGTGCAAATTTCTCCCATGAAAGGCAATAAGAAGTGTGAAAGAATTGTTCTGACCTGTGAGCGAGCAGCGCGGAATGAGCTTTAGAGACTGCTGGATGGCACGGGCATCATGTTGTTCAGGATTCCTGGAAGCAACCACACAAGCACTCAGCTTCCTAGAAAATAAATACAAGGTGAAACAGGCTAAAGGAACTGAAGCTGAAGTTGGGTTAAAATTCCAGATGAATGACAGACTTCCTCTAGGACCAATTAATGCTTTGTAAAACACAACTCTGTAACATAGCTACTACTTCTTTATCGTGTTAGCTTGCTGTGCTCTGTACAGTGTGACCTCTCTTCATTCCCCAGTACCTGTATTTAGCTTCCAAATCAAAATGACAATCTGGTACAAACATTTGAAGGTAAGGCATAAATTCCCTTGGATTTGAAAAAACACCAGCATCTCATCCTATTGTTTAGAGATCTGCTCTCTTGAGGCTGATGTCAGAAGCCCCCTCTTCTTACAGCTCTTCATGTTTAACGTTTATTTAAAACTCAATATATGTGAAAAAGTGTTTGCATAACATATCATGGGCTGCTCTGAACATCAGCTCCTGAAAGGTCTTTTTCTCACAAAGCCAAGAAATCACATTGTTCTTTTTGGCAGGCAGAGAAAAATGGAGCAGCACCAGTGTATGGGGAAGATTGTGCTTACAGTGACAGAACCAGAGTTCCGTTTCCCAGCTTCCCACCAGCGCGTGGCACACAGGTGAGCATCCTGGCTTTTTATGCTTCCAGCTTCATAACCTCCCTGCACTGGACGATGCCTCAAATCCACAGCACGAGACTTCAGTAGTTCACAAACATGGAATAGATCTGAATTGTTGTCCTGTGTAGGGAACTGTGGAGTACAACTGAATCCTTATAGTACCGCTTGGTTTATGGAAATCGTTCAAACACTTCTGCTGTAGTAATGTAAGGCAGCTACTGGGCATGGAAATCTCATTTCTAAACACCAAAATTTAGCAGCATTAGCGATTAAAACACAGAATTTTTAATGGTTAGTTTTAGCTTGGTGTTACTGTCAGACTAAAGTGAATTAAAGAACTGCCCCTTCTCCTTCGCCCCAGCCCCCAAACAGGAAATCAAAAGTCTTTGATGTGATTTCTTTCTACAGAATGAAAAAGAAAATTCCTGAATAAAATGGGGTTTAGTATTGTGTTCCACAATGTAAGAAAGCACACTGTAAATTAATTGTTCTCTGCAGACTACATTATTATGAGATTGAGATAAGCTTTGACCTTTGCTGCATCCATTTGCATAATACAGCTCAGAGTACCATGCCATTGTGTATTTTTCATCATCAACATGTGCTTCTACTGATACTAAATTGTGTTCACTTAGAATATTCCATTGTGTGAATTTTAATTGCAAACATATTCTTGATGTTATTTGTTGGACCCAAGTAGTGCTGAGTACAATTTATCTCTTAATACCCACTGGCTTTTGGCACTTGAAAGACAATGAAGAGTAGAATTGGATACTGAGAGCATGGGATATTAATAATAAAAAGTCCAAAGGAATATTACACTTAAATAGAGCAGTTCCTGCAAAATAAAAGGTTAACACTAATATTCAATGTAAAGCTCTCTTTCTTCTCCAGATTGAAGAGAGGAACACAGTTACACTTGCAGGAACTGATCTCCTTGTCATGTACATGACTGACCTTAACAGAGGCAGGGCACGCAATGAAGTTTTTATTTAGCATGTGCAGGCGGGATGAAAACAGTTAAGAAATATTGTTTATTAGCAGGATATTTTACAGATAGTAAAATGGTATGCTAGACTGGCTGCTTGGCAAATTACCACAATGGACAGATGGTTTTTCCTTATCTGTTATATAGAAATACAAGGCTTGCAGCATTGTGCTTTGTATCGATGTTTATTCATCTGTGAGAGAGTAATTTTCAGGAGTCTTGTCCAGAAAACATTCTAAATCTTCCTTTGCATCTGCAGAACATCTGCTTAAACTGAAATTGTCAGTGTCAATGTTTTATTTCTGGTAAGCTGCAGGCTGTCTTAATGTCTTCCCAAAGCCAAGGAAATGAGTATAAAATGGGATTTCAGGGCTGGGATCCAGGGTTTGCCGTCTAGATGCATCCTTTACTCTGCACGTAGTGTCAAATCTTACTCAGACTCATTCTATTCCTGGTAACATATTGCTACAACAATTAGCACAGAAAAAGAAGAAGTTTTTCTTTGTATCAGTTGACAAATGGTGGGGAGAAGATGCATCTAGTTCAGGTATTCATGTAACCAATATGTTTGATGGCAGGAAACAATGTAAAAAATAAACCCCAACATTATAAACATCTTGGTAGGAAACACCTTTCAGTAATTACTCTAGAGAGGGAGGCTGAGGATTTCACATCTAGGAGACATAAAAATTTAGAAGTTGTAAAAGACAGTGTCCATTAAAAAACCTCAGTGTGGAAGCTGCAGAAGATAAGGTGCATTTTTCAGCTCCTTCAGGTCCTCAATATTTCACTAATTCCTCATGTGCCAATAATGTTGTTTTCCTGCAATTATCCCAGCCCTTGCTGTTGATTTCCATCTCTCCCACGGCTGTTGGAAGTGTAAGCTTTGGGGGCACATGTGAAATACTAGCTGAGCACTGTCCCTAACAAGGTAGGGTTCAATGAACTAAGAGTGCTAGGTAGTTTTTAGTCTTTCTCCAGTTTTTCAGAGTATGTGCAATGTATATAACAAACCTTAAATACATGTACACAGTGTTCTGATAGGATTCTCATTAGTAAAAAACAATTCTTGTGTCCCACAGAGCTTTGAGAACTAAAAAATGTTCCAATTCTTTAAGTTCTGGTAAAGGAAGACACAGAGTCAATGCCTGGAGTAACTGGCATGTGAATGTAGTGCTGAAGGTTAAAATTCAAGCTCTGAAGGAAATTATTCTGTTTTACTTAATCCAGATTTGGGAAGTGAATCCAAGTCTCTTACACCGTGGATGAGAATCCTAGCCATCAGATATGGGATTCATGTTTGAGGCCAATAGCAAGGGCCAGATTTAATACAAAAGATTTCAAATAATCAGAGACAAATTTCACCAGAGGTTGCCTGATATTTATAGTGTTTACAGGGGCTGTGGCAAACTCAGGGTGAATGTCTCTGAAGCAGATACAGGTAACCCATATGTGTGTGAGGATGCAGTTGTTGTTATATAGTATTTTTAACTTTGGTAATTTCATCCTCCCACTTCTACTGTGAGAGATACTGAAGAGTATGAGAAATGTTGTTCACTGTCCCAAGCTGTAATGTGGATGTAGTTTGTCTATGGCTTTTAGAACATCACTGTAACCTGTTTCCTCAAAAGCAGAAATATTTCTGCAGCGTGATTATTTCATCTTATCAATTCTTTTGGATGATTTCAATGAGAAGTTGATCTTAATCTAAAAGTTGCTCTAGTATAGTGGTTTTTCAGACATAAATTTTTAAGTCACAAAAACACTGTAGTGATTTCCACCCATAATTAGACTGAAAACTTTGATGAGAGATACATCCCCATGCTTGTGGCCCACCCAGGTTCCAGAATAATCTCTGATGACACACTTGTTTGTGTTTATCCAGTTAATTTATCAGCACTGAAATGGTTCCTCCTGTGTTATAGACATGAGTAAACCTCATTGCCTTTGCTTTTTAAGAAAAACATCCCAAAACTACTATTGTTTTATTTCTCCCTGGAAACTTTACGCAGTTGTTTATCTCTTGTTCTTTTTTTTTCCCCCCTCCTTTCAAAACACAGGGTAAGTATATTTTTTTCTAAAATGTATTGCTGAGGCACACCTAATTGCACTGCTTACCTTTGATGCTCCTTATTTTGCATAAGCACTGGAATTCAGGTCTAGTGTGAGGAAAAGCATTACAGGTATTGGTTGCAGTTGGGAAGCTGTTTTAATTGAAGGAGGAATTCTCTAATTTGTTTTTCACTGTTGACTTTGCTACCTGGAGACAGAAAAGCAGTTGAGTGCTGAAATATCGAGTTTAGTCAGGGCTCCTACTCGAGCTTGTACGTGCAAGTGCAAGGCCACAAATAAAGCACAAATTCATAAACACATCTTTTCGGAGTTTAGATCCTGAAAAAAGCCCTGACCACACTTTCAGAGACACTCTGTGTTTTGTTTACTCCAGCCTTGATCCACTTAAAAAGAACCTGGTTCAAGACTGCGTTTCTTAGAAGAACCTACTTCAAGAATATATTTCTTGGATTCCTTTTCAAAGGAGAACCTCAGTGTTCACCAATAATATTTTCTGAGTGGGTCAGCTGAGAACTGTGGCAATGCTGGATGCTGTGACTGCCACAGCTGCTGAAAGCTTCTTGAACCCACTTCACCTCCAGCCCATTGTTGCTTTGTGGTCACTTGGAGGTGGCTTTTCATCTCAAAATGTGGCAAAAAGGCTGATTTCTCTTTTCCAGTTGCAGACATTGTGTATATCTTAGAAAATAATGCACAGTTACTGTCTTTACTCTTAAAGAACAAGGACAGGTTCGTTACCTTCCCATGACAGTTCCAGGATCATCATGCAGACAGTTATTAAATGTCAAGAACAGTACTAGATAGAGCTGGATAATTTGAAAGGAATCTGTGTTGTACTTTACACATATTAATTTAGCTGTGATATTTATTTTTCCAAGAAAAGATTGAACATGCTGTTAAGAAATGAGAAAAAAAAGCCAACCCTTCATTTGGCTCTTCTCTACTTCCAATTTGTAAATCTTAGTATTTCTGCCTCAAATGAAAAACTGAATATATGAAATATAGGGAAATGATTAGAACAAGAGAATCAGTCAATCTGCTCAAAGTTTAGGATTCATTACTTTGAACACTATTTTCAAAATTGTAAATTATTACTGGAGCTGATGTTGTAAACTAGATCAGATTAGGGTTTTTTTCATTTTGGGAAGTCTTGACCTAATTTCACCCTCAGACTGTGTATTTCAATGGTTGTTGCTCTCAAGAAAATGTACTTACTCTTCTGACCTGAGCTTTTCTATCTATTGATGGAAATGATCTCTTCTACCTGTCTTGGCTCAGCATGAACTTTTAATTTTCTGTGAACTCTTCTCCTGTGCTAAGAATTTAGTTATTTACATCATTCCATAAGAAAGAACACTGCCTTCCATATCTTAAGTTGATCAAGGGTCAGCTTGCAAGCATGTAGAATGAAAGCATTAAACTTTGCATCTTGACACAACCATTTTTTCTGTGGAACATTTTGAAAATTCTGGGGGATAATTTTCAAACAGAAGAAAGAAGCAACAGTAAAAAGTAGATAAATAAATGAGCGGTTTACTACGTTACTTCATTGATAATGAACATTGAGTTTTTTCTCTAATATTATATCCTGTGAAAATAAGTCTTTTTACACACAAAATGATACTGATTTCCAGAAGTTGAAATAATTAAATGTTATGCACAGTATATACCATCATTTTCATTAATCCTTAGAAAAACAAACATTGAAAATGACAGCAGTGACCATTTCAGACTATTTGCAAAAAGATACCATTTTTGCAGTGTTTTGATCATTCAGTTAACTTCATAATGACTAGAGATGTAGTCTTTCACCATCTAAGCAGAATTGTGGCAACCTTTTGTGAAAAGCAAATTTATCTTGTTTTCTGATCAGAGGCAGTTTCAGGTGTTTTACTTTTTCTGTTGGATGTGTGAAAGTTCCCTAGAAGTTTATTTCTGT